CCCAGAGTTGCATCTGAGCATTTGGATCCAAGACAGAAAGTTCTTTTGGGGTTTGGACCTGGCTGATCTTGGACCATGTGCTGAAATGAGGCTTTCTACTTGCAGAGAGAAAGGGTGAGCTATGAATAGGAGATGAAATCCTCAGGGGAAAAGACAGATGGGCAGATTCCCAAGCAAGCTTGGAATATATTTTTCAGCCACTTTTTTATTGTGATAAAATACACATAAACACAACATTTATCATTGTAATCATTTAAGTGTACAATGCAGTAACATTTAGTAGATTCACAATATGTAGCCATCATCACTATCAAGTTCTAGAGCATTTTTATCACCCTGGAAGGAAACTCTGTACCGTTAAGCAGTCACCTTCCACTCTCCCCTGCACCAGCCCCTGGCACCATTTACCCAGTTTCTGTCTCTGTAGATTTGCTTCTTCTGAATATTTTATGCAAATGGAATCACACAATATATGGCCTTTTGTGACTGCTTCTTTCATTTGACATGTTTTTAAGGTTCTTCCAAGTTGTAGCATGTATCAGTACATCATTCTTGTATGGTCAAATAGTATTCCATTGCAGAATAGATTACATGTTGTTTATCCATTCATCAGTTGATGAGCATTTTCTTTTACATTAATAGAGACAACAAAAGAGGAGTTACAAACACCCCACCAAAAATACTTGCTTTTCTATTTACCTATGAAATTACTTTTAGCTGTGTACTTTTTTGCTTCATATGGATTCAAGTTACTCTCTAATGCCCTTTTATTTCAGCCGGAAGCACTCCTTTTAGCATTACTTGGAGAATAGGTTTACCAGAGACAAATGCCATTAGGTTTTATTTGCCTGTGAATCTCTGAATTTCTCCATTATTTCTGAAGGAGAGTTTTGCCAGATATTCCACTGTCAGTTGACAGGTTTTTTTTTCTTAATGAACTTTAAGTTTGTCCTGCCAATGTCTTCTGAACTCATGGTTTCTGAAGAACACTTGGCTGTTAATCTCATGGAGGATCCTTGTACTCGAGAAGCTCCTTCTTTGCTGTTTTCAAGATGCTCTGTTTGTCTTTGACTTTTCACAGTTTGATTATAATGTCTCTCAGTGTGGACATCTTGAATTTATGCTACTTTAAAAGTCTGGGTGTGTGGATACTGAGGTTCCTGTTTGAAATAAAATTTGAAGGTTTGGGGCCATTATTTCTTCAAATACTCTTTCTCCCCTCTTCTTTCCTCTCCCTTCTGGGAACTCCCGAAATGCATATGTGTGATGTTGTCTCTCAGATCTCTTCTGTTTATTTTCTTCATACTTTTCCATTCTGCTTTTCAAATGGGACAATTTCAATTGACCTATGTTTGCATTTACTGCCTCTGCATTCTGCATACCGAAATCTGCCCTTGAAGCCCTCCAGTGATTTTCTATTTTGCTTCCAATACATTTCAGTTTCAGAATTTCCATTTGGCTCCTTTCCACAATTTTTACCTCTGTATTGATTTTCACCATTTAGTGAAATGTAGTTCTCCTGATTTTCTGTAGTTATTTGTCCATGGTTTCCTTCAGCTCTTTGACTGTGTTTAAGACAGTTGATTTAAAGTCTGTCTAGTAAGTCAGTCCAGCGCTTGGCCTTCTTCAGGAACATTTCTGTCCATTGCTTTTCCGGTGATGAGGTCATTCTTTCATACATGCATACTCATGATTTTTCTAGTTAAAATCCAGACATTTTCATATTATAATGTGGTAACTCTGAAAATTACATTTTCTAAACTATTTGTATAGACTGTATTCTTTATTATTATTATTGTTGTGTGTGGTCACTGAAGTCTCTATTTGTGTAGCTTAGTGGTCCTCTCGTGTTTTTGACAGAGATTTCCTTAATGTCTTGAACCATAAAGAGAAAACATTCCAGTCATTTCATCCAGGGTCTGAGGATGCTGGGATCATGCCTTCAACAGTTAATTAGGCAGTTTACAACTCTGCCTTTGCCTTTACTTCCTGCTTGTTGGCATCAGCTAGAGATGTGAACAGGGACCTTCTCAGGTCCCTTGTGAGCTTGTGCCCCTCACTAGTCATGTACAAGGCTATCTAGGTTCCCAGAAATATGGAAGCTTTCCCAAACCCTACTTCCCCAGAGCATCTCACTCCCAGCGTTCTCTTCCAGTCTTTTCTGCATGTCTGTTGCCGTCCTCAATTGATATTTCTTGCCCTAGCGGTAGCTGCTGACTCACTAGCTTTTACAAGTTTTTGTTTCTGTTTGTTGTTTGTTTTAATCAAATGCTCTCTGCCTTGGCTGACTCTCTGTCCTGAGACAGATCAAAGTAGGGGGAAATGCAAGCCATTTCTTTTCATCCTTCAGGGAGTTGCCCAAAGGACAAAAAAAAAAAATATTCTTTGAGAGCAAGATCTACTCAGATCCATCTGGCATCAGGAACCCACACTGGGAACCCCGCCTGCTGTCGTCAAGACCACTGCTGACCGGAAGAGAAAGAAATGGGCCAAGGGTAAGTTGTGATCCCACTACGCTCTGCTACTGAGTCCCAGTTGTTTTTTTTCTGCATTCACTTGGTGCTATAAACTTTAAAATTTTTCAGAATTTCAATACACGTGATTGTTTGTCAACCCAATGAGTATCTTCTGGTGCCATCCAGGAATCTGTGTTTTAAACAGATCTTCTCAAGATTGTGTGTGTGTGTGTGCGCCGCGCGCACGCATGTGTGGTGTGCTGATGTTTCACAAGCACATTGTCTCTTGTGTCATCCCTCTTTTTGGGGCTGGGCTCCTGGAATTTCCCATGCCACCATGTTCTCTGATGTCACTCCCCTCAGCTGCTTTTGAACTGTGCTTATGCAGCACAAGTCCTGGCCCATTAATTCCTCCCGAAACCCTTTTACTTGGTAAACACTCATCAACCCCTACCTTATCCTGTGTACTGTACTCCATGGACTGGATTCTCAGAAAAAGAAATCAGACTTCCCCAGACCTCATGGATGGCACAGTCTAGGTAGGGATGAGAAGATGGATGAGGAGTGATAACACAGCATAGTAAGTGCTTTATGTTATTTTTTTTCACTTTAACTCTACATTATTATTCTATAACGACAATATTGATTTACGTGTACCTATTATTAGCCATCCATCTTTCTCTTTCTTTCTCTGTCTTTCTTTTTCCTCTTTCTTTCTCTCTCTCTTCTCATCTTTTTCGTCTTCTTTTTTTCTTTCTTTCCCTTCCTTCCTTTTTCCTTCC